CGGAACTTGGCCCTCGCCGCGCCGGTCCAGGCAGCGCCGCCTGAAACTGCAGCAGATGCCGACTCGGGACCGACGGGTTTGTTTGCGCTCCTCCGCCGGCATCCTGCGCTACGCAGTCACGGCGCACACCTCATGGAAACAAGTCCGATAAAACGTGTAGGTGATAAAAACCAATACCTACTGATTAGTGCACCCGGAAACCTCAGCGCGGGCAGCGGGGAGGCGGCCTCACTAATCCCTGGAACAGGTGAGCTCGGGCATCTCCCGGGTTAGGTGGTGGAGGGGCTCTGGGGGCAGGCACGGGGCGCAGCTGGCTAATGGGGTGCTCCTCTTACCTCTAAAATAGGCATGTATTTGTCGGGATGCCCTTGTTATGAGATGACTTAAGGTGCTTAAACACCCCTCAAAGTTATGATTTCTGTCTATCTCTGAGAACTATATTTTTCTTTCAATTCTTTTTAGTAATTTACTTGAAACATTTATATTGTCTTGATGGGTTTGATGTTAGCTCTCTCTCTCTCTCTCTCTCTCTCTCTCTCTATATATATATATATATATATAGTAGATGCTCAATATATATTTAAAATATTGAGAGGTATATATATATATATATTAGATGCTCAATATATATTTAAAGTATTGAGGGGGTCAATGGGAGAAAAGGGGGATATCTGTAATGCTTTCAACAATAAAGATAAATAAAAAAAGAGAGTGCCAGGGTATGTGAAGGAAATGTTCAGGGTGCTGGCGCAGAGGGAATGCTTTGGTGGTTTTTACCTGCCTGCAATGCACCTCCCTTCTTCAGGTAACAATACCCCATTTATTCCTTGGAGGAACCGCCCCTCCCCCACCTTCCTTCCTTCCTAAACCCATCTCGAAGCTGGGGAGGGGGTGGCCCGAGACCCACGTCAAGCAACAGGGCCACGCAGACACAGTCCAGGGGCCCAGGGCTGCCTGAGGAGGAAGCCTGCCCCGCAGAACGCAGAGCTGACACTTGAAGCAAAGTCTGTGTCTGAGGTTTGATCCCTCAGTGGCTCTCTTACATGAGGCATTAAATTCCCTTTGCACTAGAGCCAGTTTGAGCTGGATTTCCTCCTTCTCCCAACAAGAACAATGTGTTGATGATCCAAAGCACCAAGACTGCCTCTCCGAGGAGAGGACACTTACTAGGAAGCAGAGACCTGAAGGTGGAGAGTGGCTGGGTCACCTGAAGAGGCAAGGGGAAGGCCCCAGGAGAGGAAAGCGTGTGGCAGGTGTGAGGAGCTGCAGGAAGGCCCGATGGTGGTGGCAGGGGGAGAGAGGAGCCGAGGAGATGCAGCGGGACCTAGTTCCCCGATGGAGGGCCTCACAGGCTTTTTAAGAATCTGGGACTTCATCCCAAGAGCAGTGGGAAGTCAGTGCAGGGTTTTAAACAGGGATCGACTAATCTGCATTTGGACATTCTTTGCATTTTAATAAGAACATGGGTGATAGCGTGGGGACTAGATTGGCAAGAGGTAGGAGTAGCGCAGGGGATTACCTAGAAAATTATTGCAGACCTCTGGGTTAGAGACGATCATGATTTAGACCAGTCGTTCTCAACCTTCCTAATGCTGCGACCCTTTAATACAGTTCCTCATGTTGTGGTGACCCCCAATTTCATTGTTACAAATTGAACATAATTAAAGCATAGTGATTAGCCACAAAAACAACATGTAATTATATATGTGTTTTCCGATGGTCTTAGGCCACCCCTGTGAAACGGTCGTTCGACACCCAAAGGGGTCGCGACCCACAGGTGGAGAACCGCTGATTTAGACAGAGTGGGCACAGTGGATGTGTAGAGATTGGGTTTGTGTCAACTGGTTTCCAATGATGTCCCCCGTAGACCATGACTCCCAATACTCACGCCTTGTGTGGTCCCATCCACACTGAATCTGGGGCTGCTCCGTGGGACTTTAACCAATGGAATGCAGAGGAAGTGGCGCTGTGCCTTCCAAAGGCAGGAGATCTAGTGTCCATGCTATTGAGGACTCTGCTGTGTGGCCGGAAGCCTCGGAGATGGAGGCAAACACTCTTTGGCTCCTTCTAGAGTGGATTCCAGTCACCCAGGCTCTGACTTCTCACCCAACCACAGTCTCTGTGTCTCTGATTGGTCAGTTACCTGGAGGTACATGGATGTCCTAAGGTTCAATCAGCACTGGGGGAGGGGGGAGGAGGGGGAAGGGAAGGGAGAGCCGGAGGTGCAGACATGGCTGCCTGGCTCCACTTTCCCTGGAGATGAGCGAGCAGTTTTCGAGAGGAGAACGTGACTACAGCCATTTCAAAAGAGGCTCAGCTTGGGACAGGCTTGCATGACTCAGTGCTCAGCACGTTGGCCTGTCCCTGTGCAATCCCACAGGGGATGGAATAGAATCACCCCCCCACCCCCCCAGCATGCTGACCCTCTTCCTGGACCTCGGACCCTGGCTGGGTGTTCCTCAGCTCAGGTTCCCAAACCTCCTCGTGGGCTGCTTCTCCCATCCTTCCTCAGCTGTATCCCTGACCCTTTGCCGGACTTTCTCCTCTGACCCCCTGGCTCAGGGTAATAATACCAAGAGCGACCACTTAGAATGCATTTACTAATGTATGAGCCAAGCACCCGGCAAGAGCTCATGGACTCCTAGAACCAGTTCTAGAAAGTAGGCACTCTCTTTTCATGCCCATTGTACAGATGCATAAAGTCAGGTTCACACAAGATAAGTAACTTTTCCAAGGTCACACAGCCAGTGAGAGTTGCCCCAGGAGGTGAATTGAAGTTTATATACCCCTGGAGTCTGTTCCCTTATTATCTGGGGACACACAGCTCTCCAGCCCAGGTTGGTGTTTGCCTCACTCTACCTCTCACCTGAGCGGGGTTGGGGTGAGAGCCCAGTGCTTTCTTTCAAGGGTACACAGCGTTGACCTCTGTCTGCTGTGCTTCAAGTTCATTCAGGCCAGGGGTTTTCACAGTGTGGTTCCTGGGCCAGCAGCATCAACGTCGCCTGGGAAGTTGTCAGAAATGCATACTCTAAGGCAAGCATGTCAAACTCGCGGCCCACAGGCCTCATTTATTTGGCCCGTGTTAGCCTTTGAGTTTGACATGATCGCTATAAGGCTTGCTGACTCGGAAACTCTGGGGTGGGCCCCAGAAACCTGTTTTAGCAAGCCTTCCAGGTGGTTCTGAAGCCCACCCATCTGAGCACCATTGGATCAATCCCTTTCCTTTCCACTCTCAGGTGGCTCTGGAGACAGCAGCTGGAGAAAGTGAGGCTTTTCAGCTGAGTATTTGTGGGGTTTTTTGGTGGTGATGGTTGTATTCTCATCACATTTGCCAGAAATGACCCAGGTCTGGCTTGAGAGAAGGTGTGTGGATTCCTTAATTGTTGCACACTATTATTTTTTCACATTTGCATTCAGCCTAAAAGAGAGTGAAAAGAAACATAAAGAAATCCAAACTACCCAATTCAGCAACTTAGCATTTTGTCGGTCTAGGGACGGGTGTGACTGTAACCCCATAGTCCAGCCGTGGGCAAACTACAGCCCGCGGGCCGGATCCAGCCCGTTTGAAATGAATACAACTAAAAAAAAAAATAAGACCGTACCCTTTTATGTAATGATGTTTACTTTGAATGTATATTAGTTCACACAAACACTCCATCCATGCTTTTGTTCCAGCCCTCCGGTCCAGTTTAAGAACCCATTGTGGCCCTCGAATCAAAAAGTTTGCCCACCCCTGCCATAGTCAGTCAACACGCTGAATTTAGAAAAATATTCTTGGGTGGGGATTAACAACACAAAACCAGGTCCTGGGCTGGGTTCTGAGGCACAGACCAGGCCTCCGTCCTGCCTGCCTTTGTGTCAGGGGACAGATGCCTTACTAATAACTAGGATTTGGGGTTCCAAGAGTTGGGGTCCAGGATCTGCTCCAACATGATCCTGGCCTGTACCATTTCAAATTCCTCACCAGTGCACAGCCCCGAGCCAGAGCCCTGGCTCTGTCATTTGCCAGCTGTGTGATCTTGGGCAAGTACTTGGCATCTCTGGGCCTCAGATTCCTGAATTGTGAAATGAGAGTAATAATTTCCACCTTGCAGGCTTGTTGTGAAGATGGAGGAAATGCATGTAGCATAGAGGTGCCATTTGCTAGCTGTGTGACCTTGAACAGGTTAGTTATCCTCTCTAGCTTGTTTTCTCTCTTGTAATATTCATAGCACAAACTTCAAAGGATTGTTGTGAGATTCAAGTTCATATAGATTGTACAGGGTTGCTATCATGCAACTACTCTGGTAATGTAAGCTATTATTAATGTTAAATACATAACACAGTTTCTGGAGCATAGTAGATGCTCAACAAATGGTGGCTGTTGTTATTAGTTTCCATCCTTCTCTTAAAGACAGCTCTGCCTTTACAATGCCCACGGCTGCTTTCAGCGTCTGGCTGCGGTGTCTTCAGGGTCTCCATCTCACTGATGCCTCCAGGGAGTGGGCAGTGCTGACTTCAGGTTGATGCTCTTCTACCAATTCATCTGTGATCTCCCTCTGAGTTTCAGACCCCCTCAGGTCTCCTGCTGTTTGCTGTTGGCCTGATTGCAGCATGCTTTGTTCTGGCTTTATGCTCCATTTTCAGGGCCCATTTCACAGGCATAAAGTTTCAGACCAGAGTTAAGTTCAAGCTCTATTGCTCACACTAACAGTATAGTCTTGGACAAAGGATTTAACACCAATTTTCTCATCTGTGAAATGGGGTCAGTAATGCCCATCTTGCTGGGTTGTATAAAGATGAAATAGCCCTGGCTGGTTTGCTAAGTGGCTCAAGTGTCAGCCCTCAGACCAAAGGGTTGCAGGTTTGATTCCTGGTCAAAGGCACATACCTAGGTTGCAGGTTTGATCCCCAACCCCGGTTAGGGCCCCTGTGGGAGGCAACTAATCAATGTGTGTCTCTCTCACATTGATGTTTCTCTGTCTCTCTCTCTCCCCCTCCCTCCCTTCAACTCTCTCTAAAAATCAATGGAAAAAATATCCTTGGGTGGGGGTTAACAACACAAACAAAGATTAAATACAACCATGTATTTGTAAACATTCATCATGGTAACTGTCACACAATAGGTGCTTAATAAATGCTTATTTACTTCTCTGTTCACCTCTCCCTATGGAGTAAATCCCATAATCGTTCTAACCCGTATGTGATCAGTAAAAGGGGGAATAACCTTTCCTACTTGTGGCAGAGACTGCCAGTCTTCACACAATAGCCAGTCTCCCTTTCTTCTTTAGTACTTTGACTTTATTGGGTGCGGGAGGAAGTAACAACATACCCAACTACTGACTATATCTTCCCGCCTCCCTTGCAGCTAGGTGGCACCATGTATCTGTTTTGGCCAATTACCGTATTTGCCGGCGTATAAGACGACTGGGCGTATAAGACGACCCCCTAACATTTCCACTCAAAATACTGAGTTTGTTATATACTCGCCGTATAAGACTACCCCCTCTTCCGCACACCTTCCACACACCAAATAAAAGGTAAAACAATATCGGATTTGATTTTAACATTTTAATTTATATTCAAATGCTTATGACATGCAGGAAAACTGTCACAAGGCTGTATGTACT